TGGTATACAAAAGACATTAAAAGGAATTCATACCCTACCTCACAACACACACAAAAATTAACTCGAAATGGATCACAGGGCTTCCCTGGTGGCGCAGTGGTTGAGAGTCCACCTGCCGATGCAGGGGACACGGGTTCGTGCCCCGGTCCGGGAAGATCCCACATGCCGCAGAGTGGCTAGGCCCATGAGCCATGGCCGCTGAGGCTGCGCGTCCGGAGCCTGTGCTCCACAACGGGAGAGGCCACAACAGTGAAAGGCCCGCGTACCGCAAAAAAAAAAAAAAAAAAGGGTCACAGACCTAAATGTATTAGCTGTAACTAGAAAACTCTTAGAAGAAAACACAGGAATTTGTGACTTTAGGCAATAGCTTCTTAAGACATCAAAAGCACATGCAACAAAAAAAATAGATAAGTTGAATTTCACCAAAATTAAGAACTTCTGTATTTTCAAAGGACACCATCAAGAAAATTAAGACAACCCACAGAATGGAAGAAAATTTTTCTGTACCATACATCCGATAAGAGACTTTTGTCTAGAATATGTAAAGAACTCAACAAGAAAAGGACAACCCAATTTTTAAATGAGCAAAGGATTTGAACAGACATTTCTCTGAAGAAGATATACAAATAGCCAATAAGCATGTGAAAAGATGCTCAACAGCATTAGTCCTTAGAGAAATGCAAATTTAAACTACAATGAATGAGATACCAATCCACAGCCACTAGGAGATGGATAAAATAAAAAAGACAATAACAAGTGTTTGCATGAATGTAGAGAAACTGGGGCCCTTGTACATTGCTGTTGGGATTGTAAAATGATGTAGGCACTTTGGAAAACAATTTGGTAGTTCCTCATAAAGTTACACATAGAGTTACCATCTGATCCAGCGATTTCAGTTCTTAGGTATATCTCAAGAGAAGTGAAAACCTACATCCACACAAAAACCTACACATGAATGTTCACAGCACCATTATGCCTAACAGAAAGTGGAAACAACCTAAATGTCAATTAACTGATGAATGGATAAATAAAATATGGCATATCCACTCAATGGAATGCTTTTTGGTCATGAAAAGTTATGAGGTACTGATAAATGCTAAGCACGGATGAACCTTGAAAACATGATGCTTAGTAAAAGACACACAAGGCCACATACCATATGATTCCATTTATACAAAATGTCTAAGAATAGGCAAACCCAGAGACAGGAAGTAGATTAGTTATGCTGCCTAGGCTGCGGGAATGGGGAGAATGGCGAATGACTACTAACATTTTAAAATGTACCCTAGGGCTTCCCTGGTGGCGCAGTGGTTTAGAGTCCGCCTGCTGATGCAGGGGACATGGGTTCGTGGCCCGGTCCGGGAAGATCCCACATGCCGTGGAGCGGCTGGGCCCATGAGCCATGGCCACTGAGCCTGCGCATCCGGAGCCTGTGCTCCGCAATGGGAGAGGCCACAACAGTGAGAGGCCTGCATACCACAAAAAAAAATTTTTTTAATAAAAATAAAATGTACCGTAAAAAGCACAAACATACACCTCAAACTTGTGATTTCTAGGATATTACCACTTAAGATGAGACTATATTTTTAAAAAAAAAGAAAATCAGTTTAAAGAAAACAACAGGTAAATTATAAGACAGGTAGTGATCTGAAGATTAAAAAATCACGAAGGTTATATAAAAATCTTTAAAAATTGGAAAATAACAAGACGTCACAGAGAGGCATCCTAAATGTACAGATTTCTGAGTTCAATCTCTGGTTTTATGATTAGATTCTATTTAATTTTTCACAGAAGTTCGCTGTTTTTAGTTGGCTAGATAAACCTTGAAGAAAATGAGTACCCTTAATGATAGTAGGTGATTAATGAAATAATTATTTGACCAGACACAAGAGTTTGAAGGAGGCAAAAGCCAATATGCTGCGTATCTAGGTAGTGGCGATCAAGGAAGTAGCACTGAGCACCCTGATACCTGCATTCACAGCACTTTACCTTCAATGCGCCTCTTCTTGGAGCGGGGGTAGCCCTGAGGATTGGCCTCTGCTGTACTCTCTACAGGGCTGAGGGACTGGCAGTAGGTGGTGACTGGACCCCAGGGACGGCCAGGTGCCTGGGAGACACGTTGCAGACACTTTTCCAGGTAGGACAGTCTAAGAAAGGGGTGGGATGGAGAGGCTGAAGTGGTCACAGGCCCTCGCCACACCCTTCTTCTCTAACTCCCATCTTTATCCACCCACGCCCTAACTTACAGCAGCTGCTTGTCCTGATGGAAGAGTCGGGGGGAGAACTCTGAAAGGAGCTCCAGGAATGCCAGATTTGGGGGCTGACTGGAGGAGCCAGCTGGAGGAAGCTCAGACAAGGAGAACCTGATGCCTTCCCTTGGTTGAGCAAAATCATTTTAGGAAGAGAGTCCCTTCCCACTTCCCTCCCAGGGCTGAGGCATCCTGTCCAAGTGCTTCTTCCCCTGGACCCAGCCTGTCTCCAGAGGATACCCGCTCACCAACTCTACTGCGACTCCTCGACATGCTTACCCTCCCCCTCTGAGACCTCACTCCCAGCCCTCCCTGTACCCAGCCTCTGGCTCAGCCCTCTTAGGAAGATTCAAGTACCTTGCTTTCCAACCAATACTTCCTTACTTGTGTAGCATGACCACAAGGTCACGGTTCTGTAGCTGCTGGGGTCCAAAGCTCAAGGCAAACCTCCTGGCCAGGTCCCTCATCTCGATGAAGGCTGGAAGCTCATTCAGGCCCTGGGGCCCCTGTTCCTGCAGCAGTTCTGTGTATAACTGTGTCCAGGAGACATGGCACATTTGGGAAAGGGAGGAACAAGATAGAAACAAGGAAGTATAGCATTCCCTTCTCTGCCCAGAAATCCGAAAGGGCTTGGGACACCATCTGCTATTATTACTCTTTCTTTCCTCCTAGGACACTGACCCTATTCCTGACCCCCTTGCAACAGAGAGAGGCTTCACCCTGCTCTGTAACAATAAAAATGTCTGTAGTAACTGAAGGGGTTGAGAGAGAACAGACTAGAAAAAGAATTAGGAATTCCCTATCACTTTATTGTTGGTGCTCCCATGTCCTAACTGACGTGGAGTTTCTATGGGGTTGGGGTGGAAACAGCCCACAGTTAAAAAAAATACTTTTTATGGCTCCGTTAACTGTGAAGGTGACTGTCATGTGGAATAAAAGCCAAAGTAAATCAGAAACTTCCTGCTCTGAAGGATCTCATGTTCTAGACAGCTGTGGGTGGGCTGCAAGGAGGGCACGTCAGGTCTGAGGCACTGTAGGCAGAAGGGCATACCTGCTTGAGGCTCAGCAGCAGGATTCGGGAACAGTGACTTCGGTCAATCTGCCTTGCTCTAGTTAACGTTTCCTTGATAATGTCACCATAGTCATTGTAGAACTGAGGGAAAAGAAGTGGAGAAGATACTGTTTGACCACAGGAAAAAACTGTTTTGTTTTGTTTCTTCACAGCCCTAACCGTATCTCTTTCCGAAACAGCCTTAGGTAGGGAAATGTGAACCTAAGCATAAAACAACTCATACTAGACCATACTTCTAACCAACAGGTACAAAGCCCCAAAGAAATCAGTTTAGGCAAATAAGGGAAGAAACTCTGCCCTGAGCCCATTTCTTGGAGAAGAAGGATATTAAGCCTGCCAGAGCCCAGTGTCATCCAGCACCGAAGCCTTTGCTATTTGTCTCTCCCCACTAGAACAGAAGCTCCAGGAAGAAGGAACCGTTGACTATTTTGTTCACTGAGGTGTCCTTAGTGCCTGGGATAGTACGTACTCAATAAAGAGAAATCAACACAATGCTGGATTGAGGAAATGAGGTATATATCTAGGTATCTTGTGAGGACTGATCCCTCTTCCATTCTTATTTCCCTTTCTTACATTACCCCATTCCATAGACTAGATTCACACACACAAAAAAATCTGGACAAGAAGAATAAGATACTTTCCCTCCAATGAATTTCTTCCTCCTAACAGTTTTTTCTCCACTAACTATTTACTACTAAAGTCTCTTTTCTTTGTCCTTTTATTCTAAACTATTGGCCTTCCCCCCTGCTTCTCCTTTTAAGCCTGATACCATCATCTCTCCAACCCTCCTTTCTGTAGTGCTACAGAGTCTGCAGCCATGGCCATGCTCAGCTTGGCGCCCTGCTGTACCTTGTTGTAGTGTTTGAAAACATCCGAGGCTGCGTCCATCTCCAGCACCCCATAAAGCAACAGCTTGCAGAACCCAGCCAGGAGGCGGCGCCGCTGGTGCAGCTGCTCTATCTGTAAATGATCCTCCTGGGAATGACCTGGTTCACACCAAGTGCAGAATGGGAAACATCAGAATCACAGATTCAGACCTCCTGCCCTATATGCCTGAGCCCCAGGTATACAGCCCCTGTACCACTGCCCAGTCCTCCAGGCTGGATGAAGACGTGGTCCATGAGGAAGCTGGCCAGCTCAGACTGGAGAGTGGCTTCAGGAATAAAGACAAGGGGCCTAAGGAACTCTCGTCCCCCGACAATCATCTGAGGGCCGAAGATGAGCAGCAGATCACTTAACAATACAAAAGCCTGTCAGGGAAAAAAAGAACGCTTAAAAAGGACAGAATATTGACCAAGACAGAAATTACATTGCCAATTTCCCCTCAGAACGGGGTTTCCTCAGACCACAGGGTCGGGGTCGGGGGGATGACTCACATCCTGACATACGCTCACTTGAGAAAACGCTCACCTGCTCCTGAATCTCAGGATCCACATCTGAGAGGCAGTTCTGGCAGAGCTCACAGAAGGCCACCATCCTGCCCTTCAAATTCAACAGCTGCTTCTGTGGAGACAATGGCTTCAGCAGGGAGAAATGAAGGAAGACATGGACTCCTCCATTCCCGTTCCCCCTACTCAGACCCATATTCACCTGGGAAGCATCTGATCCAGATACGTGGGTTAGTGTCCAGAGAATGGAAAAATAGACAAGAGTCAAGGCTGGTAAGATCACCTGTAACAACCAAATGTGACAAAATGAGGGTCAGGAGTAAGGGGCAGGTGGGGAGAGAGAGACAGATAGGCAGATACACACAAAGGAGGGAAAAAAGAAAAAAGCAGACATAAGAGAGAAAATGAGATTAGGAGAGACCCAATTCCTTTTCCGGTAGAAAAAAACTGATTCTGGAAGTCTTCAGAGGATTCTATCCTGAGTAGGAATGCCACCTCTCCCTAATTTATTTAAAGTCTCCTAGACCCCCTCAATATTATCCTTGACTCCCCAGAAACCAGAGAGAATAGCTGTTTTCAGGTGCTGGAAAGTACAGTCACCTTCCAAGATTGGGATGGAAGGAACGACACACATGATCAAGATCTCTCTCTCTCTCATCTGCTCCACAGCCCCGGGACTCGAACTGCATATGTGGTGGCCACCTAGGACACAGCCCTTAAAACTCCTCTCCTGCCTCCAACTTGTCTACTTGCCTGGTGAGGAACCTCTCCTGTGTCCACAGCCTTCCGGAGGAGTCGGTAGCAGGGCTCATAGAGCTCCCAGCGAGTTAGGTCATGGGCACTTTGGGGGGCGGGGAGAGAAAAACGTTACACTGGAAGAGAATGAGAGGAATCAACCCCACAGACAGTGGTAGAAACAGAAGAAGGAGCAGGAGGGGAGCTGCTCACTTGTAGAAGGCAGAGAGGCGCTTCAGGGTGGCTGCCAGACTGTACACCTCATCCTCATCTAGGAAGGAAGACTGAGGAAGAAAGAAGGTCCACACTGGGATTTCCCCAAGAACTCACAGATCCACACCCCCATCTTGGGGCCTCTCCCACACAAGTCTGGGGTGTCCCATCACGCAGCCCCACTTCCAACCTGCAGCAGCTCTTCAAGCTCCTGCTGGAAGCGGTCAGTCAGCAGATCCACAAGTTGGCTGCGGGCAAAGTCCACCCGGCTGAAGAACGTGAACTCCGGATTACAGAGCAGATAGAGGGCATGAGCACCAGCCTCAAGCACCGCTGGTTCTGCGTGCTTCACCACCACCTCCTGGAGCTGCTGCAGGAGCAGCTCCAGGTGCTGAGAGAGAAAACGGTGGGAGAAGACCGTGCTGTGGGGGGGGCAGGGAGGACAACTCCTCCGGGAGGGTCTAGAGGTGGGGAGGAAAGAAACAGGGTCGAAAGCTTTAAACTTCAAGCATAAGATGCCTCAGAAAGGGAGGGCTTATTGGTTTTTCTAGAATCCAGGTTCTTGAGAAAAACTGGATACTGGCAGTAGAACCTTTGGCCCTAGGATGAAAGTAGCAAAGTATAGGGAATGTGTCCTCCTCTCTCCTCACTTTCTCCAAGCGCCTGGTGCAGTAGATGTTGAGGTCAAAGTAGTTGAGAAGCTGCAGCAGGGGAGCAACCTTCTCTGCATCAGCTGAGAACTGTGGTGATTGAGAGGGAAGCCTACTTATTACCTGCTATACTGCTAATCTGGAGGCCAGTTCCTTCCACCCGCTCATTCCCAGAGGCTGAGCAGTGGGGACCCTCTACCTTGGCCAGGAGCTGGGGAAGCAGGGGGATGAGGTGCTCAGTCAGCTTCACCTTGTCGTCGGCTTGGATCTTACGTTCTTTGGGTGTTAAGCCCTGGAATTACAATCATTTGGGGGTGGGGGTAAAAGTGTGTGTACATGTATTCCTCTGCCCAACAATTTTATCTTCCCAGGAAGGAAAACTCAGCAGCTCCCTTCAATTTCTTTCTCTGGAAACGGAATTCTTTGAGGGGCAGAGGAAGGAGCACCTGAACCTAAGACTTGAGAATTAGGACAGACAATACCTGCCTGGATTTAATATTGCTAAGCAACCTACCCTGCCCCTCTTGCCATACCTTCCTCCCCGTGACCCGCCCCACAGGCGGGTGACCCTCGGAAGCTTGCCGGACACTGGACACAAGGATTTCTGTCAGTGTGCTCTCCTGTACGTCGCCCAGGTCTGAGGTGGCAGGAGGATGGAAAACAGAATCACAGGGTGGCCACCCTCCATCTCCAAGGACCCCACCGCCCCACCGCCCATGACACCTATGTCTTTCACAAGTCAGGAGAGAAATCTCTCCTGGTTTCCTACTAGGAGATGAGAGGTCCCCTCCCCTGGCTACCAGGTGGCACATACTCTGGTCCTTCTCCAGCAGCAGGCTTGTCAGACTCTCCCAGTCCTTCAGCTGAGGCCCCGCACAGTCCCACAGGCTGTCTACTAAGTATGCAGCGTGGTAGTGGAGCTGTGGAAGAAGACAGATGTTAAGTTACTGACGCCACATGTTAAAACTCTAGAAATTGGCTACTAATGAACCATTTCTCTCATTACTGCAGTGCCAGCTCCCATCCTTCTCTACCTGAAGGTCTTAGGCCTGAGAGCCCAACAGCTCCTTTTCATACGTCACCTCACTCTCCACAAAAAACGACAGCAGAAGGTGGAAGAAAGTCCTCTGGGAGCGTGGACTTCGGCGTCGCTCTCTCTCACCCACCGTTCTTGTCTCACACTCAGGGCAGAAAAGCCTGGTAGAGGGGACACAGGGAAAGGGCATAGCACGGAAGGAAGTAAGCAGTGCAACAGTTACCATGGAAGGAAGAAACAGTTCAAGGAGAGGATTAAAGAAAAAAGAGGCACAGAGCTAAGGAAAGCCCCAAGGTGTTGAGAAGGGAAGGAGACACCAAGGGAGACTTTATAGGTATGGGGAGCCCTTAGAAAGAGCACCAGCTGATGATGGAGAGAAAACAACGGATGATGGTGTTAAAGGAACAAACGAAAAGAGGCCCACTCACTTCCAGTACAGAAACTCCCCCACAGCAGAGGCCAGGGCTCTGTTAGAGGCATACACAACAGGGTAGATGCTCTCACAGTCTGCCTCTGTCAGCATCCCTTCCATGTTCCTGCCAGGAGAAACGCAGAACAAGCAGGTGGGTATGGATGTCGTCCTCTAGCCTCTAACTAAGGCTAGAAACAAAAAGGGAAAACCAACAAGGATTAACTCACAAAGAACTTCCAAATGGAAGAGTGGAAAACAGAGGGATATGAAGAGTTAGAGAAGATAGGAAATTTGCCCCCTGAAGATCCTGCAACTCGGGAGTGACCTCTGTCTTTCAACCTGTATATAAACAAGAGTCAACCTATGATCCGTGGAGGGATAGGACTCTGGAAGGGCCTGTCTGATGCTGAAAGGTAAGTCTGAGATGCTTGCCTCTCCACTTCCCAGGACTCACTTAAGAATAAGTGTTAGTAACCTGACGGCCTCCACTGCCACGTCATACTCTCGGTCCATGACCATGGAAACCAACCGGTCCTGTAAAAAGGAGAACATTGCTCAATAGCTCATTATATCCATCCCAAAACACCGCTTTCTTAGAATCTGAGGGATTCCTAAAGACAGGGTGTAGAAGCAGACACTGGGATATCTATGGATATATAAAAGTAATAGACATGGATAAATGAGGTGGGGAAATGGGAACCACAGACAGAGCCAAGCACAGGAGCACTGTCCCGATTTTACCTTAAAGCGGCTGGTAAAGAGCTCCAGGCGTGCAGTCCAGTCTCGGTTGCCATACAGCCCTTTTAGAGCCTTCAAGCACTTCAGACGGACTTCTCGATGCTACTGAGGAGAAGGGAAATGTGGCTGACTCCTCCTCTACTCACCCTCACTGGGCCTCCATACCTCCCTCTCAGATTACTCATTCTGGGCCTGGGTGTCCTCTGTATCGAGGACTCTGAGATGTCTCAGAGACAATGAACAGCTGTCTTCTCACTTAAAATCCAACAGGATCACAGCAGAATTTAGCAATCATGATTAAAAGGATCTTTTGGCTACCACCCTAGCACTTGCATTACCACCCTGTCAACTTTCTCGCCTTTCCATAGGGAAAGTCTTTCTCCACTCGACTGTGGTTTTGAGGCATTTAATCTCCTAGATATATCTTTCTCTCTCCTAACTTATCCTACCCTCCCAAATACTGGGGGAATTTCGAGGTTCAGTGTCTTGATGAGTTGATCACTGACCACTAGTGAAACACCTAAGTGGCAGTACCAGGAAAAGCTGAAGCATCCTAGGGCAGGGAAGAGGACTGACTCAACTCTCACCTTATCATGCAGGGTCCAGCCAATATATTTTAAATAGCTGTCAGTGAGGAAAGAGGTACTGTAGCTTTGTATCCAAGACCCAATCTCCTCAATGCAGATAGCACGGATCTCAGGAAGGACATCCCTAGGCACAGAGAGAAACTGACCCTTATTACCTTCTCTCCAAACTCACTTTCCATCCCAGCAGATATCTCTGTCACAGGAGAATCTATTTTCTTGCCTAAACACCAGGTACTAGGCCTTTCATTTCCTCCTCCCAATGTGAATATTTTAAAAAGTGAACACTTTCTTTCTGTAACCAACCTATAAAATAGTTGAACTTATCCTCCATGCCCCCTTTAAAAACCGATTTTGGAATTTAATTTAGCTGTTGCCCAAACTGCGTGTGTGTGTGTGCGTGTGCGTGTGTGTGTGTGTCTAATTGAGGTACAGTTGATATACAATATAAGTTTCAGGTACAACATAGTGATTCACAATTTTTAAAGGTTATAGTCATAGTTACTATAAAATATAAGCTATATTCCCTGTGTTGTACAATATATCCACCTGTCTGTTTTGCTTCCACTTCAAGAAAAGATTACATCAGCTAAAGGGTTCTGGAAAGGCAGAGGTTGAAATCTAGGTAAGAGTGAGACACAAATACTGAGGAAGAAGTTCTTTACCCAGTATGAAACTCCCCTGCCGGGCTTCCCTGGTGGCGCAGTGGTTGAGAGTCTGCCTGCCAATGCAGGGGACATGGGTTCATGCCCCGGCCCAGGAAGATCCCACATGCCGCGGAGCGGCTGGGCCCGTGAGCCATGGCTGCTGAGCCTGCGCGAACGGAGCCTGTGCTCCGCAAAGGGAGAGGCCACAACAGTGAGAGGCCCGCGTACCAAAAAAAACAAAAAAACAGAAAAAAAAAACTCCCCTGCCTTTAGCACAGTGTAAGGCACAGTGAAGTGGGCTAGGAAAAGGCTTGCCGAGCTGTACACCCTCAGAAAGGTCCTGCCTTTTGGCTCTCTGCTCTTGTCCTCTCAAGGCTCAAGCCCCAGAAAGATGGGGCAGGGGAGGTCTCAGGCAAAGCTGGAGCAGAAGAATACTCAGCAATGCCTTACCCTCTTATCGTCTCTCCCAGAAGAATTTACACGATCCTTTGTAGGCGGGGATAAACTAAACCTAATTTGGAACATTTGTTGCCCCAGCTGCGCTAGCTGTGGGACTAACCAGATAACTCAGGGTTAGGAGGAGACCTTGTCACTTCTACAGACTCCATAACTGAGGACCAGCCACTTCAATGAGAGGAGCCCAGTAACTCACCTGTACCGATGTACAAAGACACCCCTGAAGAGGGCATTCATCATTCCCTCAATCTCCTCTTGATGCTCTCTGAGCTGGAGGACAGGGAGTAACAGGTCAATCTCTCATGTCCCCCAATAATATAAGGCCACAAAAATATAAGAAAAGCATGACATCCACCTACTTCCTATTAATAGGAGGACACAGTCTGAACCTCTGGTATCCTTTGTTCCCTTTTAAACCTTCTAATTTTTTTTTTAAATTTTCAGGACATTTGGCTTTACTTCCCACACGTTCATAATACTTCTATCTCCCCAAATCATTTTTCCCCCACATGAGAAATATACATCTATAGTAAGGTATGAAAGTTACAGGCCTCTAACTTTCTCTCTCTTTCTATGGATTAGATAACTTGGAAAAGAGTATCACCTACTCATCCACTTGTGACAGTGGACAGGCCGGTGAAATCAGGCAGTCAATAGATACATCTAAAATACAAAGTTGATGAGAAGGGTGGAGTTTGCAAACAAAAGTAATTAAACTAATCAGTCAAAAGCAGCGAAAAAGAAAATGTAGCCAATAAGTTATCAGAATAGAAAAAGGTTAAACCTTCTAATTCTGGAAGAAGCCGTATAGTCAACTAATGCCTCAGAGATTTGTGTTTGGAAAAAATAATATCCCTTCTGTGTCTCATTATTTTGACTATCTTTGGCTATTCAGAGGCCCTAGCTGGTAGTTATACATGTTTTTGACTAACAACAATGGGGAAAAAAATTTTAATAAATGCAGTTTGACAAAAGAAGCGGAACAAAAAAAGAGAAGGAAGAGATTGTATCAGTGGTTCTCAACTGGTGGCTCCCAGGGGACATTCAGCAATGTCTGTAGACATTTTTGGTTGTCATAACCTGGGAAGGTACTACTGCCATCTAGTGGATAGAGGACAGAGATGCTGCTAAACATCCTGTAATGCCAGGACAGCTCCCTAAATGTCATTGTTGAGAAACCCTAGATTAGATGAATAACAGATAACAAAGAAGCAGAATTACAAGGTAACATTCTTTAAGACAACTGCCCCAATTCTTCAATAAATCAATATATTGGGGGAAAATGCGGGGGGCGGGGAGCAGAGGTTCTGTATAAAAGAGACTTAAGAAACACAACGACCCAATGTAATGCATAGTTCTTAATTAAATCCTGGTTGGAATTAACCAGATATAAAAGGTATTTTGGGGACAAGTGGAATATTTTAAATATGAATTGGGATTAAAAATATTAGGGAATCACTGTTAATATTTTTGGATATGAAAATGGTATTAGGATTATGTAGTAACATGTTTTTGAGATGACATACTTAAGTCTTTAGATTGAAATACCAATACGCCCATAATTTAATACAAAATAGTAAAAAAAAAATAGATGAAGCAAATATAGTGAAATATTAGTTAAAACTAAATTTAAATCTAGTTAAATCTAGATTTAAATTAAATAATCTAGTTAAATCTAGATTTGTATGTGGTGTTCATTCTACCAGTGTTATCTATTTTTCTGAACGTTTGAAAATTTTCATACTTAAAGGAAAAGGAGAGAGGGAGGGAAGGAGGAAAAGTGTGTCATCAGTACCAAATTCTATGTAAATCGAAAAGGGATACTGAAAAAAGGTCATTGGCTATAGGGATTAAGAAGTCACTGGTTTGGGCTTCCCTGGTGGCGCACTGGTTGAGAGTCCGCCTGCCGATGCAGGGGACACAGGTTCGTGCCTCGGTCTGGGAAGATCCCAAATGCCACGGAGTGGCTGGGCCCGTAAGCCATGGCCGTTGAGCCTGCGTGTCCAGAGCCTGTGCTCCGCAACGGGAGAGGCCACAACAGTGAGAGGCCCCCATACCGCAAAAAAAAAAAGTCACTGGTTTGTTGAAAATAACTTGAAAGAAAAAAAATGGGGATAGAAGCTAGGTAGTGAAAGGATTCAGTTGGATATTAAGGAAGTAAGGAAATTCTAAAAGGAAGGATAGAAATGGAGTAGCTCATAGAGGAGAATGAAAGAAGATTCAAGGGCTTATATACATTTATAAGTGGAGAGAGGAAAACAGTGGTGAGGGAGAGATTAAAGACAGAAAGCAAAACGATAACTGATGAAGCAAGAGGCCAGAGAAGTCCAAATAATAGGAGTCACCCTAGTGTATATAATTTAAGATTTGACACAGACCCAGTACACATAAGATTTAAGACATACTGACAGTGAAAACAGCAAAAGAGAATCAGGAAAGTATAGATCTTTCTCTAATGCTTTAGCATGGAAGATATGTTTGGTGAGGGCTGGAAAACAGTCAACTGGCATAGTTACACATGATAAGTCCTGCCAACCTCATGGTGGGGGAGGTCTCAGATACTTAGGGGGAATGAGGG